CCTGGAATCATAAACTGGGTCCCTCTGCTTCCCCCAGACATAGCAGAGGACACTGACACATCTCTTTTTGGGTTGAGTTCCCTGTAGAACTGAATGGGCAAGCATAAGACTAAAAAAACACATGAAGTCTTTAATTATAAGCAAAGAGACAGCTTTTAAGATTTTTTTGAAAGCCACACATAATTATGTCAGTATCCCACGAGAACAATGCACTGCCATTGCTACACTGCAGTTCTGGGAGCTGATCCCTGCCAAGGGACTGAATGATATCACCTCCACACTCACCCAAATTACCTTCGCCTCCTCCAGCATGTTTTTAAAGTTTCTCAAGCTGTTTTGGCAAAGCATCCTTCAGGGGATTTTTGTGGGTTTTTTTCTGCCACGTGAGAGGTTACGGCCTGCAGGTACTGTCAGCACAAGTGTGGTCGGGTCAGTATGAAAACTGAAGCTTTTAAGATTGTCTTTCTTGAAAGCATCTGATAAAAAGCTTGACTGGAATGGTCAGCACAGCTTCCAAGTGTTCTCTGTGAAAGACTGAAGCTGATATCACCTTCAAACAGGACTCATGAGCCCCTGGGTCGCAGCCGTGCGGGTGACTAACCCAAGGCAGAATCCCAGCGCCAGCAGGGACAGTTTCTGTCACCTCTGCTGCCCAGGATCCCAAATTAGAGGTTGTTGTGTCAAGTGGGAACCACAGATTACAGTTGTTTCTGCTGCATTTGGGGTAACAGTGGCATTTGTGGGGTTGCAGCCAGAAGGACGAAACCAGTGGGACCGACCATGACCACAGCCAGCAAGTCTCTTGTCCAGCAGAGCATTGAAGGGATGGACACCTGGGATACAGACACAGGATAACACTGAGAAACACAGTAAGCCTCGAGGCAAAGCGGGTTCCAGTCCACAGATTTTGGAAGGGGCAAACCAGCTCCAGTTCCACCCATGGGCCTCCTGGAATGGAACGGAGAGTCCTGACACAGATTCCCAGGACACACTGAAGCAGACATGGAAACCAGTAAACAAAAAAAGCCAGGCAGCTGGATTTTCAGGTCTAGCTGCATGTTTGGGGAAAGGAATCCACCGACTCCAGATTCCAGCCCTCCCTCTGTCGATAACAGGATTCCCAGTCCTGGCAGGCCAGAAACCCACTGTGCAGGTGTGTCCTAGAGGAAACCCAGCCTGGCACAGAAAGTGAAGCAGTTCCTGGCCTTTATGATGATGAATTCAGTTAAATATGGAACAAGTAAAAAACACAAGCAGATCAAAGTAGAGCTCACAGCCTGTTATTAAGCTGGGAAGACGCGAGCTTGGAATAACTCCACTTCATGGGATAATCCTGTGCCATGGGGACAGGTACCCATTCCCCTCACGGGATTTCCAGCTGCCTGCATGAGACTCGCACTGCTGTGGTGTCTGCACCCCCTGCCCCATTTTGGGAGCTCTGGGTCTGCCCCCAGCTCTGGGGAAGGCACCCACCCACTGCAATTCCCACCCAACTCCCACCCACAGCTCCCCTGCAGCTCCTCAGAGCAGGTACACCCCACCCACTGCTCCAAGAACACATTTACAGCACAAAGCATCGTGTGATAATCTCTTATTTTTGGATGATGAGGTTGAAAGCTCATTAAGGCCATTACAGCAGAGGCGACAGGTGGAACAGAGGAGAGCCATTACTGTGTTTTTGCTGTTACAGCAACGTGTGTAATTTAGTTTTAAAACTTTAATCATTTGGCTGCCAGCAGAAGTGAATTAGTGTGATGATGCTTTCCAGAGGAAGATGCTGATGATGTAGTTTGCAGGGCTTGTGTATCTGGGATTCCCCTGGGATGATAGGATGTGATGGCTCATGAAATGCATTACAGAATCTACCTCACTTCACCTCACCAAGTTTGGTCCCTTCTGAATTTATCTTACCTTGTTTCTCCCCTGCTGCCTTATCTCTGTCCTCAAAGCAGGGAGGGAGGAGGTAAGAGAAGCCACCTGTGCTCACTCACAGAGCATCGAGATCCCAGCCCTGGCCATCCAGGAAAACTTCTCCAGGAGAGCAGAGGTGAGGCCCAGACTGAACTGCAGAGCCCAGACTGATAAAAATATCCCAGACTGATAAGACGATGCCCTGAGCCAGCAAAAGTTGAGGAAGTGGTGGCGGCACAGGGGAGCTGCACCTGGAAAGGCCCAGGTCAGGGAGAGCACAGGGCAGGGACGTGGCTGAGCGTCATAGAGCAGAGGTGAGGTGTGCATGAGCCTGTGGGAGTCTGGGGTGAGCAGAATCCATGTGTATCAGAGTGCTTTGGTCACACACAGATGGTGACTGGATTGGACCTGGAATGGAATATAATGTAAAGTCAGTGGGATGGTGGATGGATGGAGATACCCTACACCTACATCCCCTCTTGTGGGCGGGCTCAGACTAACCTATCCCCTCTGCGATCAGGAGCCACTGTCCCTTTAAAAAATATTAATTTCTCCAGAAACAATTATGCAGCATAAACACAGAAAAAAATCAACAGGGTGAATTTCGAACTAATAAAGATTTAATCTCTCAGTCATGAGACTGCATTTGTTAGGAAAATACACATACCCCTGAGAATGCAGCTACGGTTGCTACACTACACACTGCTCAGCAGCTCACTGGGCATTTTTCCAAGCCCGTTTATTTTTAACATCAGTCACATTATTCAATTAATTATAAAAACACTGAGGTTTTCAAGAGATGCTTCTGATAAAACTGCAAAGTAAATATGCGTGAGAACAGCGAGGATTAAAGTCTCTGTAAACTTTAGCATCTGGGGCTGTTGCTATAAACAAGAGAAGTCCTCGAGGAGGTTATTTATCAGGGTGAATCATAGCAGATAACACACAGCCTCCTCCCACACCACACACAGGGATCGTTTGTCCTTTACCTAGGGATGGAAGCGGAGCATCCACGTGTCTGCCAGGAGTAGCTGGGGCATGAGAAGTGTGAGAACTGGGCTTGATTCTTCAGATGTCTCCAGTATTTAAGCCTCCCAGCTTGGCAAACGTCAAATATTTAACAGGCTGAGCTCCTTCTCAACAAACTGAGAAACAGAAAGCAAAAAATCCCAGCCCATCTCCAGCAATGTCTCAAAGCCTTGGAAACACCAGATAGGAATGGATGGAAGGATTCAAGCCCTGCCTGTAACAGCAACCTCCACAAACCTTGCTGTTTCCTGATATCTCCTGGTATTTCCTGCAATGGTTTCATGGTACCAATACAAAATGTTTTCCTGGACCATGTAAACTTAACCTGGTAAGCAAAAAATCATGACAACACATTTGGCTTCATCCAATTTTTAACTTTAGGGCATTGATGTGTACTTTTCCGAGCAGACTTTTTTTTTTTTTTTTTTTTAAAGGCTCACACTGTGGTGGAATTATTTGATAGCTCTGCATAGATGGCAAAGATTACATGGTAGGAGTCTGGGCATTAAAGCCTGGCAGAGAGAGCTCCCAGGCTTTCATCCAAGCCTTGCCAGACATGCACATCAACCTTGGGAACAGTCCCTCCCATATAAGCCTCAACTTCTCTGCCACAAAGACTCTTGGGCACATCCCTGTCTTTAAAAACTAGGCAAATCACGTTGATGATTGCAGACTCCTTCAGGACAAGAAGAGACATTTTGTTCTGCTTGCCCTTAAACGATGGAATCCTGCCTAACCAGGGATCCCAGCCGCAGCACAGGGCACGGCAGCAGCACCTAATAACAGGGAGCCATTTCCATGGGGAGATGTGTCCAACTGGTTGCCACATCTCACACACGGAGGGTGAGATCCCAGCTCCCGGCCCTGCCTCGTGCTGCCTGCAGGGCTGTGTGGTGCCAGGGCCTCCTTCCCGCTCCCGGCCAGCACAGGCACTGCCGGCCAGCCTGCCCCACAGCCTGACCCGAGGGGACAGGGTGGCCACACCACGGAGTGTGAGGTGGCACAGCCCGAGGAGCGGTGTGCCTGTGGGACATCCCACTGGGAGGGATGTCACCAGGGGCTGCTTCGGACAGGAAGGCACTGGGACAAGCCAGGCTAAGGGTTTCTGGCTGTCAAACAGATGCAGAGACCATATCTGTCACAGAAGCACGGAATGGGTCAGGCTAGAAGGGACCACAGTGGCTCATCTGCTCCAACCTCCCTGCCCAAGCAGGGTCATCCCGGAGCACCTGGCACAGGATTGTGTCCAGATGGCTCTGGAATATCTCCAGTGAGGGAGACTCTACACCCTCTCTGGGCGATCTCTGCCAGTGTGTGGTCATTGCACAGTAAAGTTCTTCCTCCTATTCAGGTGCATCAGTTTCTGCCCGTTGCCTCATGCCCTATTTCTTGGCACTACAGAGCATCTTCTTGGCACCTTTAGATATTTAAACACACTGATGAGGCCACCTCTCAACTGTCTCTTCTCGAGACTGAAGAGCCCCAGCTCCCTCAGTCTTTCCTCATATGAGGGATGCTCCAGCGCCCAACCATTCTCGTTGCCCCCCGCTGGACCCGTTCCAGGAGCTCCATATCTATCATGTCAGAGCTGCTCCCGCCATCCCCTCAGCTCCAGCGCCAGCTGAGCGCTGCTCGGGCTGCAGAGAGGCTTGGGGACACCCTGTGGGGCGGAAACATCGAGAAATCCCACCCGGCCCCACACAACGGCCCCACACAACGGCCCCGCTGAGGGGACCCCGGAGCCTTCGCGCCCGCCCCCTCACTCGGGGAGGGCGGGGCTTCCTCAAACCGACAGCCCTGCCCTCCAATCCCTGCGCTCTTCTCTCCGCCCCGCGCGCCGTTAACCAATCAACTCCCGCCGCGCTCAACCCGCCTCCTCGCTGCCGTCCAATCGGGCGGCGCCGCTGTCGCTCCCCCGCCTCGGGGCGGAGGGCGGGGGTTACGCAGGGTCGGTATTCTCGAAGCGCGGCCGCGGCGCCCGCCCCGCGCGCCGCCTGCGCTGTTGGCGTAGCGGGCGCAGTTGGCGCAGCGCGGGCAGAGGCGGCCGTGGCGGGGGAGCGGCGGCCGCCGGGCGAGGAGCGGGCGGGAGGAGCGGGCAGGGCCGGGCGGGCACCGCGCCGGGACCGCGCCACAGGTCGGTGGAGCGCGCCGGGGAGCGGGGTGAGACCACCCCGTAGGGCAACTGGTGATGGGGGGGCCGGGACGGGAGGTGGGACGGGGCTGCGGGTCGGTGCACGGGTGGTGGGAGCGAGCTGAGCCCGGGCTGCGGCTCCGGGCACGGGTGGTGGGGTCGGAGCTGGGCACGGTCCGGGCACGGTCCCGGTGCTTGGCCCCTGGCGCTGGGAGAGCGGTGAGAGCGGGCTGCGGGACGCTCGGTGGTTCGGAGGTGCGGGAGGTGAGCTGAGGCTGAGCACGGCTCAGTGCAAGGCTCGGACAGAGAGCCGAGACCTGGGCACAGCTCGGTGCAAGGCTCAGACAGCCAGCTGAGATCTGCGCACAGCTCGGTGAGCCGAGACCTGGGCACAGCTCAGTGCATGGCCCTGGGGTGCCAGGGACAGGCTGTGAGCTCCCTGCAGCCTGGTGCGTGGTCCCGGGTCCCGGGGGTGGGCTGGGACCTGTCCCCATCCCGGTGCACGGTCCGGGGAGCTGGAAGGCAGGCTGAGCCCTGGCAGCAGCTCGGCGCAGGGACTGGTGGTGTGGAACAGTGCCACAGGACAGCGGAGGTGCTCAGGCTCCGGCAGAGCCGGCTGGGTTCACCCACAGCCAGTGAGGGGCTTTAACCACCCACACATGCAGGCAGCTGCTGGAATCCCTGAGGATTGTTTACTGCCCGATGCTCGTAACCTTGTCCCTTTTGGATGCCGGTCAGCTCCTGCCTCCCTGGTTTGGATGTTGTGTCAGTGTGTAACGAAATGCCCATCTCCAACCCCAAAGCTGAGCCGTGCAGGGCTCGATGTGGATCCGGTGCTGGGGAAAGGCAGCATTCCCGGTGGGCCTGGTGATTGGACAGCCAGATGACCTGATTCGGTTGTTATGCTGTGTAATCTGGAGCAGACTGCTTGTTTTCTCTCTCTGCTGCTTTCTCCATTTATAAGATACAGGTGCTAACACTTAGGGCTGGTTGGAAATGCAGGAAAGAAGCAGATTTTTCAGTTATTGAAACGGCTTTTGCTTATTCTTGTTAGACTACACATTAGACTGATCTTGCTCTGTAAACTGCTTCTCAAGGTGGTGGCTGAAAACAGAGCAGATTTTTATTAGCTGCTTTGCAAAACAGAAATTACGAGGGGGATGACAACACTGAAGCTTGCCCTAGGCAAAAAGGGGAAAGAGGATGTTGGGGCCAGGCTAATTGGGGCCATACCTCTTCAGACTGGAATGAGTCTGGACTGAATATTACCCATCCAAACAGGTTTTAGAGCAAGAGGAGGAGCCCAAGACTGGCTGGAACTAATTTACTCATTTCCCTCCCAAAGGCTGACCCGAAGACCTGTATCAAGGAGTTGCACAAGGGGAGGAGACAGAAACTGGAAGCTCTCTGAATGTGCTGCCCGCAGACTTGAGGCTTCTCTGGGGACTCTAGATGACTTCCCACAAGAGATGCTTTCAGAAGGGGTTTTGCTGAAGACAGAGCACTGCAGCCTCTAACTGGGACAGCTCCTGCTGGTCTGGAGCTGAGACCAACTTCCCTCCCTCCCTTTTCCCTTGGAGATGTTGCAGAGATTTAATCTGACCTCTTCCAGCTCACCTGAAGCCTGCCGTGGTGATGATCCCACAGCCAGATCCGACCACCAAAGAGAAGAGAATCGTGCGTTTGAAGCTGGGCCGTCGTTGTAACTGAACTGGAATTTGCTCCCTGCTTGTGCTCCTGCAACGAGTGCCCTTCTTCTGCTTGTCTGTGTGTGTTTTGAGCCACTTCTCCCTGATCTTGTTTGGAATTCCTGAGCTTTTCACACTGAATTTGCCCATGGCTTTCCTGATGAAGAAGAAGAAATTCAAGTTTCAGACAAGTTTCACTCTAGAAGAGCTGACTGCCGTCCCCTTTGTGAATGGGGTCCTGTTCTGCAAAATCAGGCTGCTGGATGGAGGAGACTTTGCTAGTTTATCTACCAGGTAAGACTCTGCCTGCAGAGTTGCTGCCTGGCTCTGCTTCTTTCCCTGGTTATTCATCCCTTGAGCGGTTTAGCATATGGCCACCACTTGCTTACCCCTTGATGGGATTTTAATAGTTCTGTTGTAGGGCCCCACATGCCACATCGTTCTCTGGAGCGGGGGAAGTGCATGGCTGGAGAGCTCTGAACCTGGGTGGTGTTGGCTGATCCGAGCTGGATTGAATTTTTCAGAGATGAGGGGAGGGAGCGGGAGGTTGCTCCCTTGAAAGAGGCTGAGGCTTGTGCGTTAAATCCTCTCTTATATTTTTCCCCTCCCCTTGCCCAAGTTCTCACACGCTGTTTCAGACCCTCTGCTGTATTGCCTTTGTACCTTACTTGAAACTCAGCTCTGTAGAAAACTATTACCTAAGCAAATCGACCCTTCTCCACTTTGCTCTCCCTCTTTGATTCTGAATTTCTGTTCTTGGTAAGGGTGGAAGTAGCTTGCTTTGCATTGCAAATTGCTGTGCAAGGGAAAACTGCTGCCTGGAGTCAAAGTTGTTGGTGTTAAAGACCCAGTTTATCTCCTTGAACTGATGCCATTGGATCTCCCAGTTTAGAGCAGCAGTGTTTTCTGTGTGATCTGTCGTGTTGGGATCGTTCTGCTGCACATCTTACAAGGCTCTGCACTCGTGTATTGGTGTTTCTCTGACTCCTTCAGGCAGGTCTGTCCCCACTCTCGCTACTAATTGCTAATAAAAACTTGCTTTGTTTCTAACTATGCACACAGATTATCACCAGCAGTATGCAAACACGAATTCCATAGCAGCCCAGACTTGCTTTCTGCCTCAAGATGTGAAGGAAGCCTTTAGTGGCTTTCAAAACTTGTTTTTTTGCTTTCCTGAGTGACTGCTCAGTTTTAAAGGTACAGGATTAGTTTGTGCTGGCTGTTAACTGCTTTATCCCAAGGCTAAAGCCTGGTTTGGGCTGGTTTTCCTCTTTGTGGTGCTGCGTGCTGAGCTTTCTCGTTTCAGGAGAGATTTTATTGGGCAAGCATAAAACAGACGTGGTAGGGCATTGCTCAAAGCTTGGTTTTTTTTCCAGAGGCGCGATGCAACCTCATCTGAAGTTCTGTAGAAACCGTGGGCGTGGAGCACCTCCAAAAATGGACTTTGAATTAATTTCTCTTTTGAAGAAAATCTATCAAAAGAGCTTTTCCTCACAGTGTTTCTCCCCTGAGGCTAGGTCCTTGGGTTTGGTGGAAGCAGCTTATCTAAGGAATTCAAACAGTATGTGAACTTGGAAAGAAATTAACCCTTCTGCTTCCTGGAGTCCTAATAAACTGAGTTGCACTGGAGGGTGTCGCAGGAACAGCCTGTGCTGAGAAATGCCCATCTCCCTCTCCCTCTTGTCCCTGAAAGTGGCTTCTGGGCGCCGTCACTAGGGTTTGCTGGTGCTGCCAGCCGTGTGGGTTGTTTTCTGAGCTGGCTGGGGTTCAGCAGTTCACTCAGCAGAGCGCGTTGCAGATGTGTTCCAGCAGCAAAATCATCTGTAATTCAAACCAAACACATAAACTGCTCTCCCTGGGCTTGATTGCTTCAAAACGAGCGAAGGGGAAGTGGGCTGGGGGGGTCTGCTGCCTTTCCCCCAACCTGTCTGGGCTCTTAACTGAAAGCACATGGAAACCTGTTCCTGCTTGAAAAGTTACGGCTCTCAGTGGCACTGAGTCATTTGACCTCTTCCAAATATTTTCCCTGTTGCAGTTAGAGGAACTTCAGGAGGGATGAATTTCCAGGAATGGTGAGGAGAACCGTTACCATGTGGAGAGGCTCCTAGATCATGCTTTGGGCTCTGCTCTGTGCTCCTCTAGTCATTTCCATCACATTTTTTGATACTCTTTGGATCCAGGGAAAGATTAAAGGGAAGGGGATGCTGTGTCTATATCATGTTAGAAATCTGTACATTATTTAGGGTCTGTTTCTTGTCCCTGAAATCGACCACTTCCAAACCCGATCGTGTTTGAGGCTGTGATGTCTGGGAGGTCATCTCTTGTGAGCTGCTTATGTACAAAATCTGGTGTTTACTCTGCAATTGATTTGGGCTGCTTCTGTGGTCTGTGGCAATCAGAGGTTTGTGGCTGTGATGGAGCTCTTCCTGACCATGAGTTTTCAGAGAACTGATCTGAACAAGGTGTCCCACGTCACCTGGAGTCTGTAAACAGAGGGGAGAAGCAGGTATATGAACTCTTCATAGGACACACTAAGTTGGGTTTTTTTCTAGCTGTGGTGTGGAATGAGAAGTGTTGTCTGAGAAAATAAGAACCTCCAGAGACGGATTTTTCACGTTATTTACAGCAAACTTACCTGGCACCTCGTGCTTGTCTGGGGCGGGAGGTGGGAATGTGATATATCCAGGGAGTTGCCAGGTGGCACTGGGTTCATTTGACCTGCTCAGAGGGCAGAAGCAGCAGATTGTACTGCTGGCTCCCATCAGCCCGTCATGGTCCCAAGTCCAGTTCAGCCTGGGTTGCACGTACCTGGCACTGCCTGGTGCTGTGGGTCTGGTGGGGCACACCCTGGGCTGGGACCCCCTTCCCAGGCTGCTCACACCCCCTCTTGCCCAGCCTGGCTGAAGGGGAACCTGTCTGAAATGCATTAAGACTAAACACTCGTAGGAATTCAAAGCTCCCTGGAAAAGGTCCAGGTCTTTTCAGCACATTCAGCTTTGAGGATCTGCCTCCCTTGGGTTTTCTGGTTTCAGTTTTTTGGTTACTTTCCTGCAAGCAGGTACCCTTTTTCCGTGCTTCCTGTTCTCAGGCCTTGCTTTAAATCATGTGGTTAAGTGACTAAAGTTACAGCTGTAAATATCCTTTTGCTTGTCCTTTCCCCTCCCTTTGTAAACTCTCCCTACCCTGTGGTGGCACTTCTGAGGATAAAACTCCCAGGTTTCACTTTACAGTGCTCTGCACAAGAAAGCATCTATTGTTTGTGGGTTTATCACCTTGCTGTTGGATTAGAGAAACTGGGCTTCTGAAAGTGCATCTGAGCCAGGTGTAGGCCAGGCAGGTGCTGTATTTCCCCACAGAGAAGTGCCAATATATTCCTTGAATATTATTAGTCCAGATACTTAAATAGCACAACCGCCAGTGAATTCAGTTGCCTCCCAAGTACCTTTAAAAATAGCAGGCACAGAGCAGGAGGGATGTGTTCATGGCAACCGTTTTTGTGAAGCAGATGGGCGGCTGCATTTTGTACCAGTTTGAAGCTTTTTGGGGGGTTGTGCAGCTTTGTTCCTAGAGAGGTGATGCGACAAGCTCATCGGGAGGCTTCCAATCCGTGGATCGGCACAGGCAGGAGCCTGGATGTCCAGATGAGAGCCCTAAAGCTGCAGGCTGATGTAGGGCACACACGTACATCTTTGGGTATCCTGGAAGAGGAAGACTTGATTAAATTCCCCGCTCTGTGCTTGCAGTGTCAGTGCCTGCTGAGTGACAGCCAGATGCTCTGTGCTCGGCGCTGAGTGATCTCTGGCTGCGTGTTGGCAGCGAGCGTTGCCGGTGCACAATGTGGAGGAAGTGGAAAGCCAGGTGTTATCCACAGACTCCTGACACTACATCCTACATTGTTCTGTTAGCCTGCCAACAGTTTTCACTCTGGTATTTCTGGATTTGAAGGAAGGGATTGTGCTCTGAAATCCCCTGTCTGACTCCAGGGGAAAGACTGTTTTGCATGAGCTGAGCAACTTTGAGGGTATTTCCCACCTTCCTTATTGTCTTCTGAACGCACCTCAGACTGTATTTCGTTTGGGACACTGCTTTTCCAAGCAAATGCAGCATTTCAGCTTGAATTTGTGATCCTGCCACTCCTGCAGCAGTTTTAACTAAGGAATGTGGCTTGTCTCCTGCAACCCAGCCCTGATTCCATGCAGGCTTGATCTGGGAAGAGCTGACCCTGTTGGGGTGGTCTGACCTCCCAAGTATGTCAGTGCTGCAGCCTGAACCCAGAATGTTCTTAGCCTTGCAATTTTTTGAGTCAGTATGAAAGGCCACTTCCTGCACTGCAAACTTTATTTGTTTTTGGGGGGTATAAAGCTGCATCCAGAAAGCCAAAGGAAATACTGGTATTTGGGAAGGCACCACACTGACAGCTCCCTGTGGACTGAGGTCAGCTTTTGTGTGAGTGTGGCTCTGCCATCCTTATGTAGGCACAAATGACCTGAAGCTACTTGCTTTTGGCAGCTGGTGGGATGCAAAGCATTGTTATACCTTCGTGATCTAAACAACTTTTTCATTTCTGTAGGACATAAATAAAAGGGAGAAGCATTACCCTGCTAACACAGGGCTTGGTGATTCAGAAACCTTTGTGAAGAGAGGTGCAAGTCATGCAACCTCCAGAGTGCAGCTCTTGGTGGTGAGAGTTAAATCAGTTTCTTCCCTGTCTTCACATAAATAGTCATTGTGCCTGATGTTACAGGATCCTTCAGATAATTAGGTTCACCATGTTTGGCTTTTTCAGACTGGAAAATTGTTAACTGTTTGTTTAATCGGAGACTGAAGGACTGATTGAGCCCCATTGAGACATGAATCTTCACCACTGTTTGCCTTAAAACAAGGTTAGGTAACTAAATAGTTTCTTCTGGAGTCCCCAAGAGGGAAGAAAACTGTAGTGAAAGGAGGAGATCGCTGGCTGAGTTCTACCTCTTGACTCCAGTGCAATTGCCGTGGTTTAGTAGAGAAAAGAGCTTGGTTGTGGCTTTAAACCATTCTCCCAGTTCCATATTTTAGGACAATGTGTGTTTGGCTCTATCCTCTGCTAGGAAGTGTGGTGTGACAACACATTTTAAAAGTACTTTTGTTGCAGACACGTATGAAAATGTAGACCTTCCCTATGTGTACAAATATTCCTAATACACAGATCAAAATTCCAGAGCTGTTTCACACACTGACATCCTTCCTTCCTGGCAGAGCCTCAGGAACAGGCTGAGAGTGTTAATGGAGATGGGATTTGAACACAGCCTCTAGAA